ATTATTATTAAATATTTATTTAAAAAAATTATTAAGTTACAAATCAACTTATATATTTGATCTGTAAAAAAAAAAAAAAAAAAAAAAAAAAAAAAAACTTAAGTGGAATAAAGAAATTGAAGCAATAATTAAAGCTTTGAAGATAGCTTTTACTTGTGCATTAATTTTGTATTTTCTTGATTTTTTTGAAGAATTTCTTTTATGAAAATAGATGCATCAAACTTTAGTTTAAGTGTAGTATTGTCATAAATGAGAGAAAATGACAAAATCCATTGTGTAGCTCTTCATTTTAGAAAATTTGAAGAGCTAAGGTCAACTATGAAATCTACAATAAAAAAACTTTTTACAATTATAAATTCATTTCAAGAATAAAACTATTATCTAAAAGATACTTCTAACCGAGTGATGGTTTATATAGATCATAAGAACTTCAAGTATTTTATGTCAGCATTTATTTTATATTATTGCAAAGTTAGTTAGATCATGTCTTTGGCAAGATTTGTATTTAATATTACATATCATCCAAGAAAATAATGAGATTTATCAAATATCTTTTTAGATATTTTTGACTTACAAAAAAAAATCAAATAAAATTTTTAATCAACAACAAATAATTCATTTGAATCCAAAATAAATTAATATTTAAACAATGAAATAAACATTGACTATTAATTTAATTTTTTAATAAAATTGAATAAATTATATATTTAAATTTTCTTATTTATAATATAAAAAATGATAATTTTAAATTTTATTTTATTTCTAAGTTTAAATTTAAAAATAATCTTCTTAATTTTGAAAGATACTTATATATTCCAAAAAATAAAGTATTGTCAATTATTAATTGAATCAAGTTTTTCACAATTTTCCAACAACAAAAATTTTTGGATACAATAAGACTTTGAAATTAATATTTAAATATTTTTTGTGGCCCTAAATGTAAAAGATAATTTAAAAATTTATATACTCATGTGATGTAAGTTTAAGAACAAAAATTCCTTGTTATTGACATTATGGACATTTTTAGCCATTATCCATATCTAAACAACCATGGTCTTTTATTTCTATAGATTATATCAGAAATCTTTCAATCTTAAGTTTATATGAATTTATATTTGTGATAGTAGATTGCTTCATCAAGATGGATCATTTTATATTTTGTACAAAATTTATCATAAGTAAAAAAATAAATAAAAATAAAACTAAATTTTTTCTTTAAAATATTTATTGCTATTATGGATTTTTCAAGGATATTTTATCAAATATACAAATCTAATTTGTATTAAGGACTTGAAGTTTTTTTAAGATATTTAAAATAGATATAAATCATCTTTAATTTTTTATTTTCAAATTTATGGACAAAAAAAAACAAATAAATTAAGTTTTTAAGCAATATTTGAGATGTATCATCAATTACTATTAAAATGATTGGAAAATTCTTTTATCATCAATAAAAAAATTCTATATTAATATAATATATTTTTCTATTTAATAAACATATTTTATATTAATTATGATTATTATCTATAATTTGATATTTTTACTTTCAAAACTTAATAATCTTGCAGTAAAAGATTTGTCAAATAATTTATCAAAGTCACATGCAATAATAAAGAAAAAATTATAAAAAGCTCAAGAATAATTAAAGACCAATATAAATAGTAATTATAAGGAACAACCTCAATTCTACTTTGGAGATATAGTATGAATATTTTGTAGTAATATCAAGATTATTTGTCCTTGCGACATTTTGGATTATTGTAGATTGTGACCATTTTTTATTTGTAAATAAATCAATCTAGTTGCATATCAATCATACTTACCAAATTGTATAAAGATCTATCTTTTTTTTCGTGTATATCTTCTTGAGTCATATAAAATAATGGATATACAAATGTATATATATATATATATATATATATATATAATATTTTTTCTATAAAAGTAGATAATAATCAAGAATTTGAGGTAGAAGAAGTTTTAGACTTAAAGAAGTATCAAAATAAGTAAGAATATCTTGTACATTAGTATGGAGTTATATTATGTGAAGTCTTACTTGAAAATGCACCTTGCACTTAGTTATGGAAGGTAAATTAGAAATTATAATAACAAGGTCCTAGCAACTTTAATAGAAATTTAAATAAATCCAACTAATGCTTAAAAATCATAATAAAATCCAAAAGAAGTCTTAAAAAACTTATAAAAGAAACATAATAAAATCCTTTAAAATTTCTAAAAAGACCATAAAAAACCATAGAAAAATCTTCATAAAATATCAAAAATAAAAATCTTAAGTAAATTCTAATCAAATCCTAATGTAATGATAATAAAATTCTAATAAAATTCTAATGAAATCCTAAACAAATCATAATAAAATCTTATATGAATTTTAACGAAATCCTTTAAAAAATCTAATAATATCTTAAATCCTCAATCAAATCCTAATCAAATCTTAAATCTTAAATAAATCCTTAACTTCAACAACTTAATAATATTATTATATATTTTGATTCAAAATTTGTGGACTTTTCAATTACTTAATTGAAATCATATACGAAAAATTTGAAGAAGATCAAATTTACTAAATAGAAGATAAATTCCATAATCCACTTGGATGTTGGTCGGTATCCTTTTCTAATCTTACTACCAATTTTCTAGCATCAATATCTCTTAAAAATCCTATCTTATGGCTCTTAAATTTTTTATTATTTTTAAAAATTAAGTCTAATATTATTTTAAAAAAATAAATCAATCCAACTAAAAAATTGATATAAGACTTAAAAATCCTCACTCATCCTTTAAACTTCAATTTCTAAGATCCCAACTTTTTTAAAATTTTGTAACCTTAAAATGTAGCACTTGATTAAGCTTAAACTTACAATATACATTTAATACAATATTTTATATTTAATCACAAAATTTCACTTATAAAATATCTATCAATCTTATATAATTCTCTTAAGTATAAATTCTTTATATTTTTCAAAATCCAAAATCACCTCAAAACAACCCTCACTTTTCAAAGCCTTAATAAAGTCATTACAAATTTAAATCACTCAAATCTAATACTCAAAAAACCTCTCTTTATTTTGCTTCCAAATCTTATTTTTAATCAACCAATAAACATTTGAAATGCCATAGGTGTATAATTTTGTACTTTGGGATTTGATTTTCACTCTAGTGCACAACATGTCCTCTTTTAATATCAAATTTTGATTTTTTAAAGTAATTTATGCTCCAAATTATTCTCAACTCTTTCCTAGAGATGTTTATATTATTTATTTTTCTTATCTACTTTAATTTGTCTTATTTATGGCCTTGTAAAGTAAGTAGAAGTCAATTTTATAAACAAAAAATATTAACTACCTTCTTAAATACTATCTATACTTCTAAGTTAATTTGCTATAATATTTTTAATTGATCTATTTTATAATATTTTTTCACTGAATAGCCATGTCATAATACATTTGTAGATATGATATTAGTAAATGCATATAGAAGTTATTAAAGAATCTTACAAATGAAGCAAAATAAAGTTGATATTTTTTATTGAAAAAATCCATCAAAACAAAGATGAATAGTCAATCAATTTGTTGCATCTTGGATTTATTCAACACGTGAATATTGCTTATAGAATTTGTTTTTAATAGAGAGAATAATATCACAAATATAATCAATATTATTATTTATTTAGGAAAGAAGAATCATATAGATATGGATTTAAATATCATATGGATTTAAATATGGAGCAGCTTCTTAAAAGCTTAACAAATACAATTTTGACTTTATACATGTTTATATATGATTATTAGGTTGAAATTTTGGCTAACAAATTGGCCACATATCACACATGTTGGCCACTTGTGGTACAAATTGGTCATGTAGAGTATACATATGAGACTTGCCATATAAGTTAAACATGTGTTTGAAGTCCTATAGAATGTTGCCACATAGCTTCTAGTTAGATAGTATATATAGAAGTAAAAATGAAATCTTTTTTATTTTTGTAAACTCATTTATAGCTTTTATTTTAATTTCAAGGTTCTTTTTGTTTTTGGCAATAGTCATATCAATTTTTTACTTAAATATACATACTTTCCTATTCCCTGTTTATAATATTTTTTTGAAACATATTTAATTAATTTATTTTTATTTTTCTTGTTCTAATCCTTGAAAATACTTTATATAATAAAAATATTATTTTTTTATAAGTATTTATTTTAAATTTAATATTAAATATTTAAAATAATTATATTATTTATTTCTAATATCAAAATTCATAATTTTAGTATATCTCTATTTTTTAGTTAATTTAATTTTAAACCACAAAAGAATAAAAAAAGATCAAAGAATAATTATAAAACAAGATATATTAAGTTGTATGAATTCACAATTTTATGAGGTTCTTTGATACCATGATATTAAATATTAAGACTTCAAAAAAAAATTAAAACTATATGTATATATATATATATATGTATGTATGTATGTATATATAATCTATGCCATTTATTGAAGTTTTTTAAATGCTAGTATCTATTAAAAACTAAAAATAGTTTTAGTTAATTTTTATACAAAACTGATCAAAGCACTACAGTCGTAAAACACGTTCACATCCATTTTTCCACCCAAAAATTACATAATCTAGAACGTACAAAAAACTGAATATCAACAGCAAGAGTTTGCAAATAAAAATACACATCAAAAAAGCAAAGCCAAACCAACATCAACACTAGCACAAAATTTTAGAACGAGAATGGATGGAAAACTTTTCCGTTGGTAATGCGCTTTTTGGAGCACACGAACTTTTTGGGCGGCCTCCCTGGAAATCATGAAAAATATGACACGTGGACTCACTCTCCGACCAACCCCTCCGACCTGAAACAACGCCTCCATGGGCTTAGGGGTGGAATCCACGGTAAAAGACCGCGCTTACCGGTCCATCTCTCCGGGAGAGCCTATGCCCGTTCCCTCGTGTTTTTCGCTTGTTACCCAATGTGGCTCTGCTATCCACTGCGGTGCCCCTTCTTCCAATCCGCGAAGAATCCTTCGCTATTTTTTTTATAGCTTCGTAGCTTACCGCCTTTTGTCTGGTGAATTGATTCTTCTTCTTAAGTAGAGGAAGTGTTCATGAGCTGAGCGATTTCATTTCGAGGTGGTGGTACAAGATCTATGAATGTAGAGCTGATTGGATTGTAGAGAAAGGGCGTGTGTACAGCGTGGTCGTCGTTCTGTGTCGCATACGGTCGTGAGGAATTGTGAATGTGGCAGTTGTTGAAATCCGTTGCCATGGGCAGTAGCGAGACTACTCTGAGGCCGAAGGGGGACGCCAACCAGTCTGGTCATGGTGGCATCAGACAATCCACGCACTACAGAAAGATTAAGGATGATTATGAGTCTGTGGAGGAAGTGCAACAAGCTCTGCGTGATGCCGGGTTGGAATCGTCCAATCTTGTAGTTGGCATAGATTTTACGAAGAGTAATGAGTGGACAGGGAAGAATTCTTTTGGCGGAAGGAGCTTGCACGCCATCGGAGGAGATCTGAACCCTTACGAGAGAGCGCTCAGTATTGTCGGTAGAACGTTGTCTTCATTTGACGAGGATAATCTTATCCCCTGCTTTGGATTTGGTGATGCCACCACCCATGACACGGAAGCATTCAGCTTCTACGCCGATCATCGACCCTGCGATGGCTTTGAGGAGGCTCTGGCCCGGTACAGATCTATTGCGCCGCACATACGTCTCGCTGGACCGACTTCTTTTGCTCCTGTCATCAATGCCGCCGTTGACATCGTTGAAAAAACTGGGGGGCAGTACCACGTACTGGTCATTATTGCAGGTTAGTTTGTGATTGCGTCATCTCCGTTGCCTTTTTTTGTATCTTTTAGGGATTCTAGAGTGTTACTTGCGAAGGACATTTTTTATCATTTAAATTACGGAAATTCCGAGGCAGCTGCGGACGTGATATTCGTGTCATGCAAATGCCTTCCTCTGTTTCTTGAAGTAAAATCTTCAACTCCATTCCTCCATGAGTCCCGCAATCTAGGGATCGCCTTTGAATGATGATTACCTTCTGGTGTTTTATTTCGATCACTATTTACTGTATAATCTTGATGCATGATAGAAACTAGTGGTTGTTAAATTGATTTGTGCTAATCTGCTTGATTGTGTCCTCACATCGCCAAGCGTTGAGTAATGTCACAGATGGGCAGGTCACAAGAAGTGTTAATACTCAAGAAGGGCAGCTGAGTCCTCAAGAGCAGGCAACTGTAGACGCCATCGTCAATGCAAGCAAATACGCGCTGTCAATCGTGCTTGTAGGCGTGGGTGACGGACCCTGGGACACAATGCAAAGATTCGACGACGATTTACCACAACGAAATTTCGACAATTTCCAGTTCGTCAACTACACTGAGATCATGCTGCACAACTTACCTCCCATGGTAGCAGACGCCAAATTTGCTCTCCAGGCACTCATGGAGATTCCCCAGCAGTACAACGCGACCAAGGAGATTGAAATCCTGGGCACGCAAAGAGGGCATTCCCCTGGCATTGAACTCCTTCCCCCTCCACCCAAGGTCTTGCAGATGGATGAGCGTCCTAGTCCTATGCAAGACGCCTGTCCGACTCGGAGCCCTTCCGAGCGATTTTCTCGCGACAATGACGGCTCTCGACGTGGATCTGGATTCCGTTCACGTGTTACTGATGAAGGTGAGCACACTGACTGCGCTCTGTTTGTCTCAGCCTGAAAGAACATGGTCTTCAATTGTTGCCCCTCTGACCGTCTCTGCCGAAGCACATATTGCTGAAGCTAATGGTTTCGTGTAATTGATCCTTCGTTAATTGTACAGGTCCTTCGTAATGCAATGTACAATTGCTCACCTCTTCAACAAATGGGACAATCTCTGGCATTAGGTAAGGACGACTGTACTTGATAGTAAGTAATTGTAGGCTAGCACGAGCTTGATTCAATTCGAACTTAAGATTAATTTAAGGTCTGGATTTTTATGATCCTCATATGTATTTACGATTTTTTTTTACCACTTTCTTCAAAGCATTTAGTTTCAGGTTTTTTCTAAAAATGTGTGTTTGATGTAAGTTCAGACCGTCAATATGACAATGATAAACACGGAACCTGTAATGGTTTACATTCATGAATATTTATCCAAGTTTGATTGAGTTTGGAATCTTCAATATTAGAATAAATTATTCTTGATCCAAGTCGCAAATTTTTCATAACAATCTGTATTCTCAAATAAAATATTACGACGGTTTTAGTGAATGTATCTAAAAATAATTATGTGCATCTTTTTCGCTTAATTGAAAAAATGTGACTAAGTAGACCTTTACAATCATCCTACAACTTAGCTTAGTAGTTCGATTTAAGAACGAATAAGAATCGTTAATAATGTGTTGTGTTGAAACAAAGGAATCTATCTTCTGTAGTTGACCATGTCTTTTTTCATAAAAATATAAATGTAAAAAAGGTTATGAAAATTCTAAACTAACCTGGATCACTGTAGTCTATCAATGTCATTTATAAGATACTTAAATAAGCAGCAATGTTTAACAAGCAACTATGCTTAATCAGCAAGTGGAACAATGTTTTTCAACCCAGCAACGTATTCACCTGTCGATATCTGAGGATTAACCATGTTCTACCAGGAAGTAGAACTGAGATCGTGGTGCGCGAAATGCGAGGGCTAAAATCGCCCACCACATTCTCAACAATCTCCTGCGCAAGAATGACTTGCTCTGTTACCGTGAACATCGACATTTCAACGATGAGCAAGAAACTGCTGAGATGAAGAAAACAGAAAAGGGTGGATCCATTAACAGGGGCTATCACGGAATAGAGTTGTGTGTCGATGTGCATGTTAGAAGACGCTACGCAGATCTCGAAGCTTTCAGTGCCATGCTCACGTCAAACCACAACCTCAAGCACTATCAACCTACAATTAAGTACATGAGATAGACCACTATCATTCTCATTTGGCATTAAAGGTATGATAAAAGTACATGTTTTGGGACCACCATGTTTATCATCCATCCACCCATTTCATGTATAAATCAGTCCTGTTTCCTTCATCTACCCCTTGCCGGTGAGTGGCGTTAGTGACCTTTCCTTTGAGTGTGTCTTGCTGGTCACTCCAGAGGCTCACCCCAGACTACACACCCCATCGGTATATCACCCACCCACAAAATAATCTCATTTCATTCATCAATCCTTGGTGACTCGTGTCAGTCCAGAGACAATCCCTGGCTACCATCCATCCATTTGTAAACTTATCATTCTTCATTCATCTATCCTTGGCTGGTGAGTGAGTTGGTTTCGTCACCTAGTTCGATCGATTTCCTTGGGTATCACTCCAAAAAGCACCCCATGCAAAAAAATTCAGGCTCATCGTTCGCTCCGCCCGTTTTCTGCATAAAACCAACCATTCCATTCATTCTCCATCACCTTGGCTATTGGGAAGGAATTGCTGGCTGATGTCAAAGAATAGCCGTGTCTGATATTACACCGCTCTGCTTGCGATCTCAAGTGGTCTCTGTCTCTCATTTCGCTTGTCTTGTGCTATCTGCTCTTGCTGTGGTCCTGCAACTACAGGTTGATGACTAAACGGTAGATTTGTAGGGAGGACGCGAGGATGGAGTTGATCCTTTCGTGCCTCTCACGTAATGTGCTTGTTGATTTGTTTCAGCTTTGTTAGTGGGGGTCCGTGAATGGGAGAATGGTATACTCAGCCGCTAGTATATTATCTAGAATTTTGCGTTGTTCTGAGTTTTACAATTGAAACTTTTGAGCATTCCAGATCATACGAACCGAGCATCTGATCTTCTCAACATGCTTTTTGGAGTGCAGATTGCGACTGCTGCTGTCTAGGTGGGCGTCGCCCCAATTTCCGGACATGTTGTAGCAAGCATGGGAGACCCAACCTGCAAGAACGGCTTTAATTCTAACACGGCTGAGAAAACGGGTAAGGGGGAATCACGAATTCAGGGTGAGACTGCTGGGCAAGGTGGTAGTGCGGGGAGAGCAGCGAGGGTGAATGAACTGATTTCAGAGCGACGACGGTAAGCAGTGCCAAGAAATCAGTGAGCGGGTGAAGCAGCAGGGAGCCGAGGAAAGTCACAAGATTGAAATTTATAGATTGCATGAGTAGCAATATCTGGGTGCAGACTACATTGCGGAGGATTACATGCAGGGCAGCAACTCTGTCCCTAGCGAGGGACAGCTGGAGCCAGAGAGGAGTGCTGCTTACAACCATTATAACTCGGAAGCCGCGGAGGCACGGCACTCCTTCCTACAGAGTGCTCTCCCAACCTACACATACACGAAGACGGGTGCCTTTGACGTAGCCATAACCCAGGAGGTGTTCGTGGAGGTGGATTCGGGCCACTCCATCCGTTCGTATCTGCGCAGAGTGCAAGTGGAGCAGGATTTGGCATTCTACAAGCAAGCGTGCGAGAGCGACCCCGCGAATCGGTTTGCACCCTTCATGGACCAGCAGTGGTTCCTCGTCCACAAGACAAATTGGCAGCAGCGACTGCACGCTGACTTAACAGCTGGCCTGCCGAGAGAAAACCCTAAACTACCTGACTATGACCCTAAGATCACCGCGCATTGTATTATAATAATGATACAAGATGTGCATGCTGCTGCTCTGGATGCACTCCATGAAGCTGGCTAGGGATATTCTGTCGAATCATAACTACTGCTCAGATTCAAGCTTGGCCGCTGATCCAAAATTTGGGAACGGAAGGAGGGAACAGAGGGGAACCAGCGGGGCGGGGAGGAGTGATGTGTTTCCTCTGAGGGAAAAGGGGACTGGTCCAGATGCATAAAATTAACTGAGCAATTTCTACAAACATATTGTATATATGTATGTATATATATATATATATATATATATGATAAATTCTTCATGGATTTATCAATTCCACATTTAGTGGTATAATCAATGACTCACATTTGTGTGGAAAGGAATTTTGTTTGTCTACAAGGTTTAGAAATTGAATCTGGGTTTTTTGGAAATGATTTTGTGTTAAGGAATCCCAATTTTATATATTGTTTAGACTCGAATATTTATTCTTGGTGATATGGTCGATTATTAAAAATTTTGTAATTGTTACACTTTGCCATTATAAGAACTGCTTTACAATTGTAGTTACATTCCAATGAGAGTATCCAAAATAACAATGATCAAAATTCTTGTATTTTTATTGAAGACCCTTTTAATAATTTTAAAAATAAAATAAAAATTTTGTCTTTTATTTTTGATTTTTAAATTTAGTATTATTATAAATAAGAAAAATTATACAAATTACTAGATTTTCCTCTTTCTCATTCATGGTTATCTTTCAATAATCAAAACTACTTATAAGAATTTTTATGGCTATTTTCAACTTAAGTTTAAAATTTTGCAAATAAGTCTAGACACACATTCAAAGCATCTTAATAAAGTAGTTTTTGTACTAAATCAGTAAATTTTATAGAAATGCAAAATATATCAATTAATGATGATTTTTGGTATTTTACAATTACATAAATCACATAATATTTAGATTATAATATACTAAATATATTTTGAGAGTCATTCAAAATAAATTTGTAAACTAGGCATATTAGAGGATGATTTAAAAAAAAAAAAAAAAAAAAAAAAAAAAGTGTTGATCCGAACAAAAAAATTGACAAAGGTTAAGCAATTTTTAAAAAAAAAATTTTAATTTTATTTCACTTTATTGTGTATGGATTTAGAGCTAAGAGTGTAGCCCACAAGCCAAATGAACATGAAAAGATTGTCTATTGTTCTACAAAGCATAGTCTAAAGATAGATTGAATTATTGAAATAGTAAGAGGCTTCAAACATGACACTTTTGCAAAACCAAATAACTAGGATTCAACACCTCATATTTCTAGGATCACTCAAAATATCAAATCCAAAATATCATCATTCAAACTTTATTACCTCCTGATTCAAACTTATTTACCTCCTTGATATGGAGTCAAAGACGGAAGGAAGCCGAGTCAAGCGAAGCAATTTTTGATATTTGACCCCCCCCCCTCTTTTGATATTTCAATTTCAAAATCACCCACCTTGCAAGGTGAAGTATCAATTGATATTTCAAAAATATCCCAAGTGAAATATCACCCAAAAAGACCATGTTTGAAACCCCCTAATGAAGCTATATGAATTTTAGAGAAGTGGGTTATTAAAGGGATGCTCATTTCATTCTCTTGCTGAATGATGCTAGCTTCATTGTTGTAGGAATAAAAGAGTGCATCCAGATGTCCTTGCAGATGTGATTTTTTTACCAAGTTAGACGCAACTGGTTAGTCCTTGAGAGTGGAGTGGAATCAATTCACCGCCTGTTGAGACAAGTTTTGATCACAGTTATTGCAATTTTTCTAACGAGCAACAAGGATGAGGAATTTAATGAGATACATGAACGCTTTAGTTGAGAGATATTTGCTTGCTGGAGACCAGTATCCAGCTTTCAGTGTAAACCTGCATTTTGCTTTCCGAGCTCCGGATGTTTCAACCTCTGCCTTCTGAAATAGTGGGTTTATACTATAGCCATTTTATGTTAATCTTGTAAAGGATTTTGTTAAATCCTTGTTGGAGTTGGTCAAAGCGTGTGTGTTCATCCTTCTGTTCAGGAAAACCGAGACTTTTGTAAAAATAAAAATAAAAAGCATGCAAGCTGGTGTCGAATTTGATGAGAGCCGCTCCGGACCATTAACTGTAACACTTCCAATTAGCGGACGGCTTTTTGAGTCGGCAACTTCTGAGCCGGCATCGAAGTTAAACAATAAACTGGACACGCCTCAGCTTATGGTGCATACTTTAGGGTTTTATAGAATAACAACAGGTGAAGCATTCTTCTGTGCCTGATATTACACCGCTGTGCTTGCGATCCTCAAGTCGTCTCTGTCTCTCATTTCCAATTATTATGTTATTAGTTTATTTAATTACTAAAAAATACTAGCATTAGATCCTTTTTTGGATTTCATCCACACAATCATGCTTCAAAACAAACCTTAGCAAACACTTATTTTGATAATCTGACTCTTAATTTCTTCCCCAATATTTAACTACATATAACTTGCACCCTGTTGGTACCTGGAAGGGCCTAGTCAACTTCTTTTTTTCTTTTTTTTTTCTTTTCTTTTTATTTTTGTCATTGTGATAAGTTGTGGTACCTGAATTCCCAAATCCAAATTTGTGTCTGTTCCTGTTGCATCAATGCTTTGAGCTTTTTGACATTATTATCCCTAAATTTAATGGCAAAAATAGCAAAAATACTTTCTCCGGCTGTGGCTGTGACCTTCATTGTGTTGGTTCCAACCAAACCGTAAACATCATTGATGTTTTAGTTGTTGACATCAAAAAATTGATTTTGCCGCACAGTGTGAGAGGACCAGCCTCAAGCCCACACTGAAATCAAGCAGCTATTCCGCAATTTGGCATAACTACATCGCAAATTGGATCCAAGTCACATTGAAGAAAGGGAGAACGGAATTCAATACTTGAAATTCTGGAAGGGATGCAAGCGAAGAACTGTAAAGAAACTTTTTGATTGAATTACAGCAGAAAGACAACCACACCAAGCTGTCAACGTTCAATTTGTTGTTGCACAAGGCTCCCAATTGCACACAGTCTCCCTTAATATATTATACATAATCCAGCATTCAGGAACCATGGCTAGATTGATCCCACAAGAAATTCCCTTCATCAGATGAGTTGTCACAGGAGCGTAGAAGGAAATTCAAACTTACGCAGTTAGGGTCAACAAAGGAAAAAAAGACACTCAAATTCTCACCCAACTGTTCAGTTTTGACCAACCAAAGTTTCTGTAGCAAGATGATTAGATTGTTTGTTTATTTGTTTGTTTGTAGTTTATTTTATTATATTTTCTTGTTCGTTTGTTTGTTTGTTTATTTTTTTTCACCCACACCCAAGCTCTCCAAGGTTAGAGAAGTTGCAGTCAAGCCAAGTTTTATGTAAAAAAAATACATTTAAAATCAACTAATAAAAAGATTAACTTTTACCGACACTGGGAAAACTTACTTTTCTGTTATGGTTGTCGGTTTGTTCACCTACTTTGGAAGTCGTGCAGGGTCGTTAGCGGTTGGGTTTCCCAGTCCAGCGGAGATGCTATCGTTGTCTGAGGCCTACTGTCAAGCCTGATACAGCGCACGATTTCTAGCTTCCTCTTCTAATAGTGTGTGAACACCGTCATTTTGGAGACTATTAATGGGTAACTGTGCCTTCATTTAGACCATTCCTCTTCACCCATTACTCCTCATCCTGTTTCAGACTCCGGTGCGGAACCCTCCATGTCATCCACGAATCCTTCGATCCTTCGATGACAATGCTAAAACTGCATGTGTACTAGTTCTTCATGTCGATTTCTACAAAACTCTACACATCTAAGAATTGCCCACTACCAGGCCCTTGTTTCAAATCTGGACAGCACTCAACCAGTAAGAGTTTTGCCCTTTGACTCGTGCAATGGGACCGACAGAGGTCGCTGATAAGTCTGTTGCGCGTTCAAGGATTCGGCTGTCTTCTCACCTCTGAAGTCGTACATTGACAAGTCGAAACTGGGCTTCATAGCAAAAGCCTTCAGCGGTACATGTGTGTACTTTTGTATCATGTCATGTACTAAGCGATGCGAAGGAATTTACTTGTCTAATTATAGATATCCAGTGAAGAAAATCACTCCCCATTTTTCGTCAACGACCCACTGCACAAGCTTTTCTTTGGCTTTGGTTGTAATCTCCGTGCTAATGATGAAAGAGGCGACTGAAAAGAAGTCACACGGCGCAGCTCGAAAGTGGCAACACCACATGGAGGGATGAACTTCACATGAAAGTGTAGTCCACGCTGTGATCAGCAGCCATCAAACTACAGGAATTAGAACTGCATTGTGAAACCATGATTAACTTGAACAGCAGATGATTAGTGAGTTGCGGAGCAAAGAATGATGTTTTAATAACATAACTAAACAAAGACAGACTGATGTTTTTCCAAGTACTATGGCAAACATTGGCCAATAAGTGACTTGCTTTAATCGTCCAATCTCTTGTTGGTCTAGAATACCGCACACAAAACTAATATTCTATCACTCTTTTTTTATGTGATACAATCTCATCCAAGTGTAACACTCAACAATAAATGACATGTGGTGGTAACGGAGTGGCGAAGGCCAGGTATTGAGGTGCGCCTGATATGTTCCATGATCATACAGAAAAGGTTGATACTTGTAACACAATGTGTCTCAAAACGACCTCTAAGTGGCACCCATAGAACAATGCCACAAAGATGTTTTTATCTACTTTCAATCAAACAATGAGCCTATAGGATCGTGAATTCAGAGGTTTTAAGCTGATGATTCACTAGTATGAAGGTCATCATTTCAAAACTAAAATACACTATGCACCGAAGTTAAAATCTTGAAAACATCAGGCTAGTGAAGACAACGATTATTAGAAGCCTTAAATAAAATGAACTATAGTATGGTGCATTCAGTAACGGTTTTCTCTAGCAGTTGTGACCACATCCACTTTAGTACCCAACGTACACAGCTGCGTTAACCAAATAACAATCGTCATTCTTGTCTCCCATAGCCTCCAAAGCTACACCACTTGAACAAATGAGCCCTCCGTCCACAACCTCCACTTCCAGGATCTCGCCGCTACAAAAGGATTCCAGATAGTGTTCAGCAATCTTCACATCATAAGCATGTTAATTCCAAAAAATGAAGTGCAGACTCTATGAACTTGCTCTGCAACGACAGAAATTTCGGGTTCCTTGTCTGATTAATAACAGCCCCAGAAATATGGCAAACTACCCAACTTGAAACATTCTTAAAGAGCTCCATAATATTTCTAGTGAAGAATGTGGAGAGCAAAGACAACACTAGCAATTAACAACCTAGATACACTTTAAGTGTCTGCGGCATGATGACGAGCACTGATGCCTTGTACAGCTGATTGCTGAACACGATGATTCGCATCAGAAGCTTATTGACTTGATATGCAACCCTTTTCATCACAGAATAAAGCAGATGCTATCAAACAACAGTAGCGGAACCAAAAGTGGCACAGAAAACCACGCGAATCAGAGATATATCTGACTTACTACGGGAAAACAGCCTTCACTTTTTCAACATCCAGCTCTTTCTGCACAGAGCGAGGAACTCCAAGCTTTACCCTCAATTTCATTTGCTGATAAGAAACTCCGGGTAATGCACCTGCCCCACAAATTAATGAACATATGATGCAACAGAGCAACTACAAATCTTAGAGACATAGCATGTATGAAGCTGGTCAGCAAAATGCTGGTATGCAATCTAGCCAAATTGAACTCCCAAAAATTTACATTCAAAGTTATGGAGGTACCAGTTCGAAACGCAGGGATGGAGTTCGAGCTAATCGCATCTTTGCAAGCTCTTACAGCAGCTGAAGTGACATCCTGTCTGCACATTCCTACCATTAGTCAACGACACTGATGTAATAATCTTCCCAAAGTAATAATCTTTTTATAAAATTCATAACTACCGCGATGCATCAGCTCAGTAAAGGTCCCTTGAGACAGCATAGCTATGGCAATAAAACGCGTCATTTCTTAGAAAACTAACAAACAACGAACATTTTCCAAGAGCATGCCCAAATGCCGAGACGACGATAAGAATTCAAACAGAATTGCGGTCTTCCGAGGGAAAAAATAACTAGGAGAGTCGTAAACTGAGCCGATGAGCAAACTACCGGCGAATGATGCTGGTCGGATACACCAACAGTGATTTGCGAAAGAACCCACAACTGTAACCATGATATGTGAACTACAAACACAGCGAGGAAAACTGCGAAAGCCAGAAAACATACCCATGTTGATCGTATCCCGTCCCCATCTCCACAAACAGCAAACGAAAATTGCTCAAACCAGACGCTGCAGTTGATGTCGAACTTTCCATAATCTCAACCTTCGATACCTCTTGGCAAACGGCTCAATTCAATTCCACAAACCTCCTTTGCCTGCGAAGGCGAAAAAGACTTCGGTGAGGGCTTTGGAAGAGTGGCCGAAATGAGAAACGAGGGCAACGGTGATTCTGGGACGCTATGAGGTGTATTTTCTTACTGTTGAAACTACAAAAGTAGAAGCCCTAATTTTTCTTAATTGAGTCGCTATAGAAATTTTTAATCTATATTTATTTATTATTATTTTTTTTCGGAAGATCATTTATACCCACTCTGTAATGAACTTATGAGAATGACCACTGTTCAAATGGACTGCAAACTTGAACTTTATGGGAAAAAAAATTTTGAATTTTTAACTTTTGAATTCATAAACTAAAACCCCTAAACCCATGTGTATGTTCCTATTTTTACTTTTTGCTTTTGCAATGACCAACTATCTCTATTGAAAAATTTCGGACTCATTCTTATTGTTATTCATTATAGTTGATGACATGGATTTTACACTCAATTTTTTGAATCGTTTGAAAAATTAAATGTAACTAAAACTTTTGAAACACTAAGAATCATATATTTTTAGAGCTCATTAATGTAACAGAGTTAAACAAGAGGTATATACAGATAGTTGGATTGATCTATAGCAAACTAGTGGGAACATACGAAACTGGAAAAGTATTAAAAATAATTTTTAAAATAGTGATTTTGTATTAGAGTAATGCAAGCATATATTCAAATTTTTAGAGTTTGAGATAATTAAGCTTGCAAACATTTTTTGCTGCAAATTGTCTTTTGAGCTGGTATGACAGCATTTACATATAATAGATATAAAGAAACTTACAACAATTTTCATGCATTCTTCATGTTACAAAACACAAAACATATCAATTTAAATCAAGGTTAAAAAAAATACCACAAAAAGAATTACAAAACAGACAGGTAGCTTGTTTCAGATTTCTGATATTCCAAGCTCCAAACATCAAGCCAAAAATCCTCGTATCAAATTGGATGTACCCCAGGAATGGAGCCAAATGCCATCACATTTCAATGCCAAAATTTCAATCGTCAAAATGGGAACTTCTGGATCAAAATTTTCAACATCTAGGAATGAAAGCTATCTTTTCAAAAGAAGGTTTACTTTCAGCAAAACTTGTAAAAATAGACTTGTGCACTACACCATTTCATGTTTTAAATACATGAGATAATATATTCTATGTCAGTCTTTGATATTTCATTTATTTATTTGCTACACAATGAGTTGATGTGGTGGAGGTATATGACATGTAAATAAAACTATATCAATCATCAGTAAGAAAACAGCTGTTGTCGATGCTATGACGTTTAAAGGGCGACACACCAATGTCCGTCTTACTCATCAATACAAATTATCGGTGTGACCTGATCAACCATGAATGGAATTTATTCAATACAAACACTTCATTTTTCTACCCTACTGCTTTTACAAAGCTTAGACTAAACCATGAAATGAATACCTCTGAATCCATCCTCTGCCAGATTCTTCACGGGCTTACATAGCTTCGCAGGATGTTACACTTGAATATTGCCACTACTGCACACTATACAACCAAATTTTCCAGCCTGCATGCAGATGCTTCAATTTAAAAGCTTGCCGAGAGTGCATTCAAGACATGCTGTGGTTCATCATTCTTACCTGCAGTATGCTGCTCACCTTGTCGATTGAACTAAGGAGCAATGATAGATATGACCGATCCGCTGCAACAACTGCTCTCGGTGTGGGCAGACTTCGACCATGACCATGTAATCGATCCTGACACAGCATCCATCATGTGGCTGAGAGGGTCAATTGTTTGTTCCATCGATCTCCACGACAAGCATGTCTTATCCAACACTGGAGTAATCAAACGCGACTGTGTGAGCGGTTGGTGATCTGCTGGAGCTTGATGAGGACTCCCATGTTATCCTTGGGTTGCAGGAACAATTCAGACTTGTATCTTGCTCCTATGTTTGGAGTGTCGATGGGAAGGCTTCCTTCGCCTGCTTCGCCTATGTAGCCTGCTGCTGAGTTTATGTTGTCGACCTGAGACACAGATTTGCGATAAATTAGACGTATGAATCACTGAGGGTGAGCAGTTGTACAAATAAGGATGGTTAAAAACCATACCGCAAATGAGACGTGATGGATTCCACCGTTGGGATTCTTCTTGAGAAATTCGGCAACTGGACCATCCTGTCCCATAGGATGCATAAGTTCAATGCACACGTTTGGTAACTGAACAAAAACTTTGGTCATCTTGAGATCGGCGTGATGCTGCACACATACCACGGATAAGTTCCTTAACTACAATTGTACCAATTTAGGTTCCCAATCGAAATTCAACCTGAAGATTGTCATACATCGGCTAAATTCGGCATTGTAGGCATAGCTACCGACAACATGAAGTCACGTGCAGGAAATGCCAAGAGTTAGATATACATACCACAGGGTCACTGACTTGGGCGCCGAATACCATGCGGTAATGCTCGGCAGCAACTGGAAGGTCCAGAACAACAATGGCAATGTGTTGCAACCCCTTCACAACAAATGGAATGTCCTGAGGTGGGCTTCGGACAGCCCAACCGCCAACACGACCTCCGCTGCCAGCCCCAACATGTGCATTCATTGCTTGAGTTGCGCGAAAAGCTACTGGATGCGAGATTTCGGATAAAATCAGTCTACCTGCAGGAGCAATCACTCGTCGGAGAGCTCCAGCCATGATTGAAGAACCGATAGTCGAAATGAGAGCAACTACCTTTGTTTTATTAAATCGTATGATGAATTCTTACAACCTGTCACATAGAAATCAAAGTTTCAATAGCGTTAGTAGAATGCACCATCTAAACATGTGATCCAGAACGAATCAGCCATATCCGCTAATAGTCGTCCACTAGGTCCTACCAATCCAACTTACAAAGTCTAGGCAGATTCTTTACAACTTGAAATATAGGAGAAGTAATTTGTAAACGAAGGTGAAGTAAAACTTGAAGTTGGAAGTTCAACCAATCTAATGCTCTACGAGGAGACCAGGCAGATATGGCAGAGCAGCATGTCGAGATCAACCGTGGGGGTAGTAAGACTGAGCCAGATGCTCTAAACTCCATGTCTAAGGTTGTTTACGCTCACATTGACAAATTAGACCTGACGAAGAGGTTACTCGAACGCAAAGATAGAAGATAAACTTGCTGAGATTCTCGATCGTAGAGGCGTTTCTCAACTTCTAACCCAAACGATGACACACACGACAGTTTAACTGGGAAGAAACAGAGTATCAGAGAGACGGGCAACAACAACAAGGCATAGGAATACTCACAGCACAAGCAAGTTCTAAAGTGTTTCCGAGAAACCCACAAGCCCAAAACACAACAGCCACTGCAAAAAAGCATGGGAAACCAATAAATCCAACCCGAAGCTGCCAAAACACAGCACCTTCGCCAACTGGAACAGATTCCGACGGTTCTGCACTCAAATTGGAGCACGAAAGAAGGCGGCGCTGCTGTGTCCGTTGCGAAATTCAAAGTAGCGATGGATTCTCGGGTGCTGACAGAAAAGATGATGATCAGATGCTCTACAAATCAGTTGTCGAAATCGAACGCAATTGCTCGCCGGCACTGACGCCTTGCGGGCTCTGGCCTCGATTCTTATAACAGAGAAACTCAAGCACACAGTCACCAAAAAGTAGTTGCAAGCTTTTCAGGGTCAAAGTAAGGGCCAAACAATTGCTGAGCTCGAACCCCCGAATGACAGATAACGTAAAAGTTTCTCTACGCTTTTTCGTGTCAGAGTTGGGGCCAAACACCCCTTGAACTCGTACCACGGATGATATGACAACCATATTAGCAATACTGTTATTATTGGTTTTGCTTTACTCTTTTAAATCTCGTTATTTAATGTAAATTTCAAGGAAACTTAAAATGTGAATTTTATTTTTAATCTTTTCCTTTTTAAAATATAAATAATTAAAGTAACTTTTTATTTTGTACCTACAAAAGTACTCTAATTCTGAAGATTTAAGTGATTTAAAATTAGTAACATGACACACCCAATTTTATGTGTTGTTGAAATTTAATTGACATTCTATACTTTTAAAATGATAATTTTCTAACAATGTTTTTGTTTTTGTGACTCATTTGATTTAATTCTAATAAGTTTATTTGAAGTTGTATTATCAATTTGATATTTAATATACTTGATGTTTGACAGAAATTTGCAAAAACGATTCAAGGGATAAATTTTTTTAACAATTTTTTTTTTTTTTTTTTTTTTTTTTTTAAATTTGAAGTTACATATGTAAAATATTCTGTAAATATAAAACTAGAAAAAATTGTCATGCCAGAAGTTGTGGGTTCAAATAATAGTATAATAGTTGATTGACACAACACATCATGTTGAGATCATCCAAGAGTGTTGTTAGTGCAATGGGGCCAAATAAAAGTTATTAATTTAGATGGATTGGCCACAATATGTTACTGAGGTTGCACCATTCTATACAACATCAGAATCTTCTCTTTTTTCAAATCAAATTAGGCTTGATTTTAAGTCAAAATGCTTTTAGCAATGTTGATATTGAAACATGACATTAACCAATATGTGAGTGGCATTTGTATGTTATTGCAGGTTCTTTATAGGTTTTTTGAAGTGCTAGAGCAAGGATTGTGACATTCCCGAGTAGACATTACAATAATTGAGTAATATTCACAAAAAATTGACATTTTAGAATGTAGAAGATTTTGTATGTTGTGAATTATTATTATTATTATTATTATTTTATTCTATTAGAGGAAAAAATGTGCCAATAGGACACAGAGTCCCCAAATGCTCCACCAACAAAGCACTTCTTTGTAACCTTTGTAACACTCTCCAGTCAAATTAACTATACTTCACAACACAACAACAATTGCACCACATGTAATCACGAAATGGGACCTCACCCCACCTCACCCCACCTCACCCCACCTCCCAAGAATCTTCCGCTGCTCCTCGAATTGGGCTGGATTTGCGTCCTGGAATTCCATAATCGTGTCTGCGTGAAGATCTGAGACGCAAAAGCAAGCCCTCCTATTCGGAACCTGGCCCATATCTCACTGTAGCCCTATGGTGGCTGGATCACTAAGTGTCCTCTCAGCCTGAAACGCTCGCGGAAGTGGAGGAACTGGATATTTGGACATGGAGCTCTCCAAAGTATGGGTGTTCCATGTCCAGCACCTGCGACTTTGTGGTTCTCTCCACATTCAAATGACACGAAATACACCGTCATCGATGTCCGAAATTCTGGATCCCAGAGAAAGAGTGATCTCCCTTGTAGAACGGCGATGTGAAAGTTTCTACAGGAAACGATCGGACTCCTGGAAATCCTTCTGCTAGGTCTTCCTACACCAGATCGAGGCACTGATCTGAGTGCATAAGACTTTAAATGATAATAATATACATTGGCATTATATTGTATCTGATTAATACATGTTTCCCTTCCTTACTTGTGTGTGAAGGTATATCAAAGAGGGTTCGGTATGCTATTGACTATGTACTAGTAGGCAACTCATAGACACGTATGATGTGTATTTGACCCTCCCATTAGTGTGTTAGTTCATCTAATTGACGAAAGTCATCTAATATGTGATTTTTGTCTCCTCCAAGATTAACGTTGTAGTAGTTAAGGAATATATCTCATTTTGTACCTTCCATTTTTGAGCTTTCACACAACAACAAAGTCGTGCAATTGTTTGCTTATGACATTGATTGTATTTTGTTGTTTGTGGTGTTTGTAATATTGTCAACATGGCCAATTTATTAACATTTTTCGGATTAAGTAAACACATATTTTTAGCAATCTAAAAAAATATGATGTATTCCAATTTCTCTCTTCATTTCTTTGTAACTTTTATTAAAAATTTCTATTGAAGTTAGTTTATTATCCAAAATATTGGAAAAAATATATTTAGAAGATTATCTAAGATATATTTACATTACTTGTGATGTTTAATGTAGAACTTGTAAGTAGTTAATTTTTTAATATTAAAACTTTGTAAAATAATTGAAATGTAACACAAGTATTATAATTAAATTATAAACTTGGTTAATTTTTAAAGCTCTTTTAAAACCAAAACGACTTTTGGTTATTTTGGACATTCTATATAAAATATTATACTTTGATATTTTTATCTACTTTTTTTTTAGACTAAAAAATCTTTTGAAGTTTATATCCTACTAATGGTTTTTAGAAAAATATTTTTTTAAAATTAGTTATGGTGCTTTTTAGATTTGGACACTAATTGGAATAATTTTGACATAAAAATTATTGTATAATGTGAATTCTTGCTTGAGAATGCACTAGGCACCTAGTTGTAGAAGGTAAATAGTAAATGCAACCAGAAGATCCTACCAAGTCTAATAGAATCTAAAATAAACTCTAAATAATTCTTATCAATCTTAATCAAAATTTAGCCAATTCAAAAGAAATTTAAAAGAAATTACAAAAGAAACATAAAGAATTCATAAATTAACTTCAAAAATAATAATAAAGAAATCCTAAAGAAATATGAAAATAAAAACCTTAAAGATATAATAATAATCTTGAAGAAATATTGAAAATAGAAATCTTTAAAGAAATAATAAAAATTTCTAAATAAATATTAAAAATAGAAATTATAATTAAATCTTAATTAAATTCTAATCAAATTTTAATATAATTCCAAATAAATCCTAATGAAATTCTAACAATCCTAATCAAGTCTTAAAATAGTCTTAAATAAATTCTAATGAAATTCTAATTATCTTAAATAATCTTAATAAAATCTTAAACAAATTCTAAAAAAATCTCAACCAAATTCTAAATTGTGAACTAAACTCTTATAAAATCCTAACAAAATCCTAATTAAATCTTAATAAAATCCTATGAGGATTAATTTTCCCCTTACTCAAAATTATAAGATGGCTTCAATTAAGAGTTTCTTGTAATTTGTGGTGTGAAGTAGAAGTAGCAATAAAGAAGAACAAAAGAAGAACAACACAAGACAAGTGAAACAAATACAATCAAGCAATTGTACACTACAAAACTAGTCATAGTTTGTTCATTGGATTTTCACCCAAAAAAATATAAAAGTAAAAAGTAAAAAATATATTTTTAGATAGATAATCTTTTTACCTTTTCAATGGTATAAAATTCATATAATTTCAAATTACTATGAGTAATTTGAGATTAAAGATAGAATGTAAATAATAGAAAAGTTAAGTGAATAATTTTTACCTCAAGGATAACTTGCTTAAGAAATTAGGAGCTCGAGCCTCCCCAAGGCTAATAAGTAGTGTACATTGGTCGTCCAAAGAGGCCTTGAGGCCTTAGTCTTATCTTCCTACCTATACCCAAGGTGCTACAACCCATATGGGAATTGTGCACCTCTCTTCCTACAAGGACTACAATAGCTGCTTGTCCTCGTATTTTCTACTAGTAAAACTATTTTTTTTGCATTTTTGACTTCAACATGGTAATCATAAATACCCAATTAGCCTAGAAACCTTGTATAGTTTTCAAATCTTGTTTCATTTCTTCATAGTGGCTCTCAAGGTGATAAAACTCAATTTTACCAAGATCTTGAAATTTTCTCTAAAAATTCATAAAAAATCATAAATAAATTCTAAATAAATTTTAAAAAATATTATAATATTTCTATGATACTAATATCCATAAAAATCTGTATTTTTATATTTTAGTGATTTTTTTATAGTAATAAAATTAATTTAAATCTAATAAAAATCTTATTTTCTACATATATAACTTAAAAGACATGAAGTTCTTTTTCATGCTTCTTTTAACTATTAACTAATCATTAATAGGATTTTTTTAAGTAATACATGTAGATATGATGCCAATATAGAAATTGGTCTCAATTACTAATCATTAATACTCAATAATGAGTGAAAATAAAAAACCAACTAAGATAATTGCTTCTAAGACTTACTAAGACTCTATTTTTATAAATTTTCTTCTAATAAGACTTTTGTAACTTATAAATATTTCTAAATTATAATAAATACTTGAATAGTCAAAAAGATTTTCTATTCTTAATATTTGTATAATTGAATGACTTAAAACTATGTTTTTAACTGATCCACCAATTAAGATCAGATTGTGGGACTCACAAATTCTAAATTTTAACCAAATATTAATCAAATCTTAAATAATTCCAAAAAAATCTTAATTAATATTAATCAATTATAATATCTATTTCAAAACCTCAATAAATATTAATTAAACTATTGTTCTTGACTCAAATTTCACTCAAATTTCAATCCATATACAATTAACAAAGACAAAAAATTTGAGTAGAATTAAATCCATTGATTGAAAAAAAAAACTCACAAAGCCTTTTGGATGTTGGTCGTCCTCCTTTTTCAATTCGAATGTTGATCTTCCAACATCAATTTCTCTTTGTTGAACAATTTAATTTCTTTAAAATTTTATTTGTATATATATTTCTAAGTCTAAATTGATTTTACTATTTTTTGCTTCAATCAAATTGGAAAATATTATATAATCACAAAAACCCTCGATGATCCTAAATTTCAATTATTTTAGACCATAATCCACAAAAACTCTCACAACCTTCAATCTAAGTGCTTGAATAATATCAAACTTTTCA